CTATCCTTTCTTATCCCCTGCTTATCCACCAAGACTTAGTTTGAAAGCTTCAGGAATTTCCCTTCAGTTATTCAAATACAGTTAGATGCCCTGCCTTTGTGCTCCCTTAAATACCACACATATTCCTGAGTCATAACTTGTATCATATCATATTAAAAAAAATCTGTTTCCATGTCTGTCTCTGCCATTAAAATCACTTGAAGAGCAGGAACCAGGTCTTGCTGGTTTGTATACCTAGCACCTAGCACATAACAAGTCCTCAGTAAATATTTCTTTTCCCTATTTGCCCACCCCAGCCCCTTCATACATATGAGTATGTCCTCAACAAATATCTAAGGAATATATAAATGAATGATTGATTTGGCAATTTATTGAGCAAGAATAAGGAAAGCAGAATTTGAGACAGCTGAAGTTTTTCATCTGAGTAGCAGGGAGGATGGTGATACATTAAATGAGAATGGAAACAGATAAAGGAACAGGTTTCAAGATAAAGATTATTCATTGCTTTAGCGCGAGTTGGTTTTGGGAGGTAGGACAAGGCATCTCTTCACAGCTTTTCAACAGATACTTGAAGAGGTCAGCAGTTTTGGAGAACATTGTGAGCTAGATGAATCTATTTAGAAAGCATAATTGAAGATACAGTGGTGTGACAGGGATCACTAAGAAAGTGCTAAGGGAGGAAGAGAAGAAGGACAAGGGCAGAATCATCAGGAATGTCTGCATTTAGGGGAAGGGAAGTACAAGAGCTCCCAATAAAAGAATATGAGCAGCAGCCTCCTAAAACTAGAAAACCAATCTAGATATATGTCATGAACTCCAAGGGAAATAAGTTTTAAGGAAGGAGTCAGTTGCTGTGAAGTAGTCTTATAACAAGCAAGATGGTTGAAAGAGAAAATGCCACTAGATTTGTTCTTTAAAAAATAGTTTTAGTAGGCATATCTGTTAAAATTATTGTTTTCTAGAAGTTTGGCAAAGAAGGGAAGGAGAGAAGATGGTAACATAAAGGAGATGGTGAAATTTTTTGTTTTATAATTACGAAAGTGCATGCCTATTGGAAGAAATTTAAACATTCAGAAGTATATAAATTAAATTATAAAAATCATTCCCTCAGTAACTCTGTTCTACTTTTCTGATTTGTTATATATCCATCCAGAACTTAAAAAATATTTTTTGTATATTTTTGTTTTTACAAAAATGAGATCATATTATATATTCTATTATTGCAAATTGCCCTTTTTTTACTTAATAGTATGTCATGAAGTTTATTCACAGTAGTATAGAGAACTACCTCATTCTTTTTTTCTCTGTTTTCATTTATTTTATTTATTTATTTTATAAATGATGATAGTAGGATTTTATTTATTTATTTTTAATGTATTTATTTATTTATTTTGGCTGCATTGGGTCTTCATTGCTCCGCACCGGCTTTCTCTAGTTGTGGCAAGTGGGGGATCCCCTTCGCTGCAGTGCATGGGCTTTTCATTGCGGTTGCTTCTCTTAATGCGGAGCACAGGCTCTAGGCACCTGGGCTTCAGTAGTTGTGGCACGCGGGCTCAGTAGTTGTGGCTCATGGGCTCTAGAGTGCAGGCTCAGTAGTTGTGGAGCATGGGCTTAGTTGCTCCATGGCATGTGGGATCTTCCCTGAGCAGGGTTCAAACCCATGTCCCCTGCATTGGCAGGTGGATTCTTAACCACTGCACCACCAGGGAAGTCCCTATTTATTTTTTTAAATTAAGGTATAGTTTATTTACAATACTGTATTAGTTTCAGGTGTATGAGACAGTGATTCAGAAGTTTTATAGATTATGTTCCATTTATAGTTATTATAAAACAGACTATATTCCCTGTGCTGTACAATATATACTTGTAGCTTACTTATTTTATACATAGTAATTTGTACCTCTTAATCCCATACCCCTATCCTGCCCCTCTCCTCTTCCCTTCCCTCACTGGTAACCACTAGTTGTTCTCTCTATCTGTGAATCTGTTTCTATTTTGTTATAGTCATTCATTTGTTTTATTTTTTAGGTTCCACATATAAGTGATAGCATATAGCATTTGTCTTTCCCTGTCTGACTTATTTCACTGAGCATAATACCCTCCAGGTACATCCATGTTGTTGTAAATGGCAAAATTTCATTCTTTTTTTATGACTGAGTAGTGTTCCATTGTATATATATACCACATCTTCTTTATCCATTCATCTGTTGATGGACACTTAGGTTGCTTCTATAGCTTGGCTACTGTAAATAATGCTGCTATGACCAATGGGGTGCATGCATCTTTTCAAATTAGTGTTTTGGTTTTCTTCAGATGTATACCCAAGAGTGAAATTGCTAGATCATATGTTGGTGCTATTTTTAGCTTTTTGAGGAGTCTCTATATTGTTTTTCATAGAGGCTGCACCAATTTACATTCCCACCAGCAGTATACAAGGGTTCCCTTTTCTTCACATCCTTGCCGACATTTGTTGTTTGTTGTCTTTTTGGTGATAGCCATTCTGACAGGTATGAGGTGATATCTCATCATAGTTTTGACTTGCATTCCTCTGATGATTAGCGATGTCTTTTCATGTGCCTGTTGACCATCTGTATATCTTCTTTGGAAAACTGTCTATTCAGATCTTCTGCCCATTTTTTAAATTGGGTTGCTTGGGTTTTTTGATGTTAAGTTGTATGAGCTGTTTATGTATTTTGACTGTTAACCCCTTATCAGTCATGTCATTTGCAAATATTTCCTCCCATTCAGTGGGTTGTCTTTTCATTTTTTCAGTGGTTTCCTTTGCTGTGCAAAAGCTTTTAAGTTTAATTGGTCCCATTCATTTATTCTTGCTTTTATTTCCTTTGCCTTAAGAAACAGATCCAAAACAAATATTGCTATGATTTATGTCAAAAGAGTGTTCTGCCTATGTTTTCTTCTAAGAGTTTTATGGCTTCTAGTCTTACATTTAGGTCTTCAATCCATTTTGAATTTATTTTTGTATGTAGTGTGAGAAAATTTTCTAATTCCACTGTTGTTTATGTAATTCTATAGGGTAACTTCTTAAAAGTGAAATTGTAGGAGGTTAGGTGCACTTTTATTTTGTAGTGACAAATCACTCACAGAAGGGTTATCCCAATTTGCAGTTTCCCTAGTACTATACTAAAATCCTCCTGTCCCAACACTCTCACTGACACTGAGTATTATTATACTTTTCCACTTAAGGGATAGTTTTGGGATTTAGATTTAGGTTTTGATTTTTAATGGAAAGTCTGGTCTTATTTGTAATCCTAGGAGAGAATTCATTTGAGAGGAGGAGTTTGTAAGTTATAAGAAAAGGAGATGATTGGCAGGCCGTAGTCACAGAGGGAAGGGGCCAAAATGGTATCAAGAGTATGAGTAAAAGGTATGATTTCCTTCTGAGATGTTAATAGAAGAATAGTAGATGGGTAAAGTTGGAAATAAATGCAAATGAAAGAAGAAATTTTCTTATATAGTCATCTTTATTTCAGGGAAATTAGAACCCAGGTTCCCAGGATGGGATTTGGAATAAAGGTACAGACAAACTTCTGTGTAAAATGGAAGGAACTATTCAGTATTGGGAGTGATCAACATTGGCTAGTATTGGGAGCTTGGCTGACCTGAGAATGTATGATTTTGGGAAACCCAGTAGTCTTGGTCACATTAACTTTTCTGTAAGAACAAGTAGAGATGTCATTGTTGGATTTGCCAGGGTTTGGGACTTCTGGGTTGAGGTAAACTTATCTTTCGTTAACAGTAAATACAGTTTTATTCTCTGTATTTTCCTGTCCCATGAGTAGAAGTTACATTAGCTAAGATATGCATCCACTGGTAGGTCCACAAGGGAAAGTGATCCTTGGGTTCTGGTAAAAAAAATTTTAAGTGTATAAATTTAATACACTGCTTTATTCCCCTGTAAAGCCATACTGCTAATAGTTTGTTTATTTTCACCACTCTGAACATAAAACCATTTAATGTATTGGTTTTTATTAATAAATTATGATGTGAGCAAACATTACTAAAAATTCTGATCCACACAAAAGAAGCCCAATGACATTGATGGGTTTATGTGATTTCAATCCTGGTCAAGGGCCACCTAGCATTCATAATGGATCCAGTAATATTCCATCAACCTATTCTTGTCTAGAGATTGCCTCTGCTGCTGGGGAGTTTAAATATCCTAGTTTTTAGAATGTTACTTTTTGAACAAATTATTTTTCTTCATTTTAATTTTCACCTTGTTTATGGTCATGGGGAAGACAAAACTAAAGTATCATGAGTCTATGGTGAACTTAAATTAGAAGGGAGGGGCTGGTAGAATAGTAAGGGATACACATCATCATAACATTTCTCTCTAAACAATAAAATGTTATAAGAGGATTTGTGCTAATGGTGGGAACATAGTTCATTGGAGAGAAAAACATATGCACATGTGTTTATTTTCATTAAAATTTCTTTTACTCCATATTTGCCTTGTTGACTTTATAATGAAATTATATGAGGACAGAGACCAATTCTCCCTCAAGCACTATTCCTCACATACCCTGAGTACATAATAAATACTATAACAATTGAAAATGAGAAACACAAATACATTTTGAAGCAAATTGGTGATATTTTCATCCCTTATTCATTTTTAGTACTCGGAAACATTTTAGTTATGCAAGTCTTGTTTTAGCATACTTTTTATTTTTACAGATACTCTGGTTCTTAGTCATACTCTATGGCTTTATTAGCAGTTTTAGGGTCTGAGTCTCATTTCCCCAACCCCAAATATAAACTTTTTGAGGATAAAAACCATTTCTTCTCCAAAATTGTTTTGGCAGAACACAAAATAGACCTTCAGTAAATTATTTAAATTATACATCAATAAAAGATAAGAAAAAGAAAGTTTCTATTGCCATGAATTGCATTTCAATTCATACTGAATGTATATGCCTTTGTGTGATCTATACCCCGTGCTGTGCTGTCTGCAGCTCATAAATGTTTATTCTTTTCAGTTTATTGAAGTCAAAATGTGATGGCTGGACACTTGGAACATCATCATCCAGCAAAAAGTACCAAGACTTCACTAATAATGGAGAGAATAGAAGGGAGAAGAAGACAGTTGGGTTTCAGTCACATATGGAAGATGATGCCCTGTGGACAGGTCAAAAGAAAGATGCATATCAACCCCAAAGAGGTAAGCTCAGCATCTGTAGTAGCAAAATAGGAAGCTCTTGGGGGCAGGTGGTTGCTGATGGCTGCTAGCCATGAGCTCCAGATGATTTCCTATAACCCTGAACAAGAGTTAGTGTTACAGACTGACATGGGCCTGCAAGGCCAAAGGTAGCACGTCACCTAGATCAGTGAATTGTATCAACATTTCTCTTAGAACACTCATATGAGAAACTGTCTAATGTGTCCCTCTTTTTGCAAACAGCAAACTGCAAGAATTATTAAGCAGTAAATGTGGTCATAGACATAAAATAATGCTTAAAGCAAATAAAGAGGACAAGAAACTGAACATAAATCTTTGCTGGGAAAGTAAACTCTAATAACTACAGTTAATCCTCGATTAACTGGAAATACAAGGAGGGTGGAGGAGAGGTCATTGCGTCTAAAACAGAATCTCATACGTCTTAAGCCTATATTGCCTAGCAGTCTTTGAAGTGCCAATAATCCTTCCTATTTTATATATCGTAGATATTTTTTTAAAAATCAATTATAAATAACTATGTGAAAGGTTGAGTGAGGCAGTCAAATTTACTTGCATTTCTCAGTTGTTTCTGGAGTGACTTTTGGCTTAAATCTCTCCTGGAATCATTAAAGGAGGGACTCTGGGACAGAATGGAACAAGTCTGAGCTTCATCAGTCAGAAATGATGTACAGAAAACAAAGGGCACAAAAGGTGTCAGAGCCCCCTTCTGCTCACGCCTCTTTCCCAGACATCTTTTGTTCCTGCTCACAACCATTAACCCTGATTTCCTCCTTGTTTACCTCTTATTTTACTGGGCTAGCTAGCACTGCCCACTGCTAGTGGTAATCAACCAACTTTTCATAATCTCTCTAACCACTTTCACATTTATTTGAGAACTGAGCAGTGCTTTACGAGATCTTACAGGTATACTACTCTCCGCCTTTCCTCATCAGCTGCCGACTTTGTCATGTGTTTGGTTTAATTATGATTAATCTAGAAATCGCTTGGTCCTCTCCCAGGTAACTGAGAGATGATAATTAGTCCAAGCTTCAGAAGGGAGACTATCCACAATTTGAAACAAAAGCAAAGGTACATTTTTGTTCGACATAGGGCAAAAGTTCTGCAGACCTCTGTTGTTTTAGGACAACTTAGAACAACTTCTGTCTTTTTAGACTTTGCTAACAGAAACAAAAATGAAATTGAGGAGACTTAGTATCTGAGATGGAATCTTCTCTACTTTCTCTATTAATAGTCCTTCAGAGATGGGAAACTCTTACTTTTGGCTCCCTCTGTTCTTAGTCATTGCACTTTGGAGAGTGGAGAACCAGTCAGAATTGGTGTGGTAGTTACACTGCAAGACTCAACATAGTCTTCTATTAACTTGACAATAAATTTGTGTTGTGTGTCAGCACTAAAATAAAATAGCAAAATGAGAAAAATACAGCGTGATAGCAAAGGGACAAATAACTTGTGTTATTGGTTGAGACCGCAGCAACATTAGAAAACTGCAATTGAAAAGGCACTTTGAGAAAGGTATCATCAGGCCAGCCCTGGCCATGGTGGAGGTTAAACTCTCCCAGGCCCAGCTAAAGAAGCCGGAAGTCTAGAAAGGGCTTTTGTCCAAAAAAAAAAATCAATTTCTAATTTGAAACAAAATCATTTTTGACTAACAGGGGTTCAGAACCCATTACTTTTTGCTGTGTAGTCTGCTGACATTTCAGCACTTTCTGTTGTGCACAATGAATCCTAATAGTCATTTTATAATGTTACTATACCAATCAATTTAACCAAGAGAAAGCTGTTATAATTCTGCAGTTTTCAAGAACAGTTTTCATTCATGGTTTTATTTTTTTTCATTAGTTTTTTTTTTCCTTCTCTTTTTTTGGGGGGTGGGGAGGGTTGTAGCATTATAGTGAGAAAAATGGAAAATTTTTCATCTTTTTAAAAGGGTTTTGTTTCAAGGTATTCACAGCAACTATTAACTTTTTCTTCTACTAATAAGAAATGCTACCTTGTATTTTTCTCTTCTTTTATTCTAATATGGAGCCATTAGCAAAATTATGGTATACCTGATCATTGAGGAGCTAAAACTGCCCCTTTGAGCCATTCTGCCCGTTGCAGAGCTGGTGGTATACACAGATCACAGTACAGGGCAAAGTTATTGCATTGGCATTTTTTGTGGGAGACCAACTTTCCAAGGTGTGCTGTAGCAGGATTGGACACCCTGTTTAGCATGAGTCAATGACCTGACACCAATTACCTAAGTTACACTGCTTGGTTTAGCATCTCCTTAATTGCTTTCCTCTCTTTAGTATGTCTAAGTTTTAAAATATATTATTATTCTGTTTTATATCCTTTGTTACTTTTGTTGTCCTTTAATCATTAAGTACTACATAGGACATTTACTGAAGGACCATTAATCTTTATTATCAGTCTCTTTCTCCTTTACCTCTCCTATCCTCCTCACCATTCTGTCGACTTTATTAATACTAAACATGTAAAAAAAAAAAAAAAACAGACCTGATTCTTGTCTCAAGAAATAACCTTGTGATTGCAAAAATATCAGTACAGTACAGTATTGTCAGAATTATGCTTAAAATATAAATTGTGTTCCAGTCATAGATGCTTGGAATGTTCTGTCTTAGTTGCTTTTATTGAGCTCTGTGGAACAAGGAGACATTACTTAGGAAAATCCAAACTTGAGTCAAGAACTTTTAAGCCAAAGGCATAAATCTAAAAATACCCAATCTTCATTCTTCTTTTTTCCTCCCTACACAGCAGTATTTTTATTCTCTCCTAGCTTGCCTAGAACCTCCCCTTCCTGGACAATCACTGACTCTCTTTTATAAGAGCCCTCGAATCTGGGAGAATATTTTTTCCTGTTATGCTGATGGGCTGGCAGAGGTTGTGAGGCCACTGAGCACGCATGTTCCAGAATTAATTAGGAAAATACTAACCCAATACTAAAATCCCAATACTACATTTAGAGCTACCTCCTGTTTATTTCTCTGACATTGATCTCTGACTCCCCTTAACACTTTGAGAGGGTATGAGAGAGGCTGAACCTAGAGTAAGTTGGATTTACCTGATGGTATTGACCATGCCCTTCATTTTGTCTTTCGGGGTTTTATAGGTTATATAATATACAGCAGCTGTCACTGGTTGAGACTCCCTGAGAGACTCCCAAACACATTTTTCTTTTACTGGAAATGAAGGAATGATCTGAAGTGAGAAATAATCTCTGAAGCTCCTAGTTGTTCCTCTACGTGAGCCTGTGCTTGCAATGATGTGAGCGTTCTTTGTAGCCCATGTTGGATTAATATTGCAGTCCTGATTAAAGAAATAAGCAAGTAGGAGTATCTAAAGTACAGAAACCATTTCCATCTTGCCTCTAAGGAACATTTATTTATGTTTCTTTTATTATTAGCATTATCATTATCATTATATGTTTAATCATTAGAAAGGATACCACAATATATTACTTCTGGTTCCCAGTAGTCTGAGCTAAAAGATTTGTTAAAAATTGATACCTTTATCATTAAAACACAGAAGACAAGCATAGTACAGAGCTATGAATAAACCTAAGCATGTAGATTAAATCGTCCTGCCCAGCCCACTCAAAAAAAAACTTCAAACGCAAGAGACTAACATTCAGAGTTGAAGTTGCTATATATCGAATAGTAACTTGAACCAGAGGCTCTACATTTCCTATCCTCTGCAATACAAGTATCTCAAAATACTATATAATTTACTTGCTTATTATGTATGTTTTGTGTCTTCTCCCATGAGAATATAAGCACTCCTTATGTTCACTTTTGTTCCCCCATTTCCTTGAATGTTGCTTAACATGCGCTAGGTGCTCGTAATGTATTTGTTTAATGAATTAATATATTACAGTTGACCCTTGAACAACTCAGGGTTGAACTGCCGAGTCCACTGACATGCGGAGTTTTTTCAGTAGTAAATACTGCAGTTCTAAACAGTCCATGATTGATTGAATCCACGGATGTGGAGGAACCGCCTATACGGAGGGCCTACTCTAAGTTACACTCGCATTAACCCTCACGTTGTTCAAGGGTTGACTGTATAAATATTAATTTTTCTTTTTGTGTCCTTGCCCCATTTTCCCACAACAAGGATCTAATAAATTAGACCTTTTGACCTCAGTCCCTGCAATGATTTAGTGGCTTAAGAAGTGTATGTGCTGGTCCCTTCAAAGTCCTAATGCTGATTGATTGGTAATGTCAAAGAAAGTCAGTAGAGTGGGGTCTTAAAAACAGCACTGCTTGAGAGACAAGAAAACTGTGGGGTTTTTTTCGTTTTCTTTTATTCTAATTGAGGTTTAATTTATATACAATAAAATTGCACAGGACCTAATAGTACAGCTTGATAAGCCTTGACGATTGGATATACCTACGTAATTAAGAAATAGTACATTTCCATTATGCATGAAAACTTCCTCACATTCCTTTCCAGTCATTCCCCGTGAGGCCTCTCTCCTTGGTTTGCAGATGGCTGCCTTCTCAGTGTGTCCTCACATGCCCTTTTTGTTGTGAATGTGCATTCTTGGTGTGTCTCCCTTTTCTTATAAGGACAAAGAGTTATGTTGGATTAGGGGCCACCCATATGACTTAATTTGACCTTAATTACCTCTTTAAAGGCCCTGTCTCCAAATACAGTCCCATTCTGAGCTGTACTGGGGGTTAGGACTTCTGCATATGAATTGCTGGGGGGGTGGAGGGGGACACCACAATTCAGTCCATAACAGTTACTCTTTTTCCAATCTTTTTATGCCTTTTATTTCTTCTTCTTATTTCACTGTACTCTCTAGGACTTCTGTTACAATGTAGAATAAAATGGTAAAAGTCGACTTCATGCCTTGTTCCCACTGTCATAGGGAAGGCAGACAGTCTTTCACCATTAAGTATGATTTTAGCTGTAGGCTTTTTGTAAATGCCTTTTATCAGGTTAAGAAAGTTCCCTCCTCATTTGCTGAGAGCCTT